AAGTTGTTTTTTATGTAGGAATTTCACCAGTATCTTTAGAATAAACAGAACATTACATGGCCGCTTGGGGATACGAATTTTATCTTCTCGTGCTGAAAGTATCTCTCACTCGTTCGCTCCGCTCAATCGTGAGAGATACTTTCAGCACGAGAAGATAAAATTGGTATCCCCAAGCGGGCATGTAATGTCCTCTATATCTTCTCTTAAATATCTAAGCCCTGCATCCAACTTACAAAACATCAGCGCCAATCATTACATGTTAAAACATGGAATGATATGTATCTACTCCATATTTAAGATAACCCCTCCTCTTATATAATGCTTTCAACCAAGAATGCTGTTAAATTCTCTAAACGATTTTGCTGTTTACTTCTCTCAGGTAGCTCACAACCCCTTGTTTCCACCATTGAAGTAGAACTCGGCGAACTACTCAAGCAACTTCAGAAATGGAGGAAGGAAGGTGAATAAATAATACATATTTAGAGAGAAAATAATCGAAGTTGAATGGTATTAAAATACTTCCAGTTCCCTGTAGAATTACATTACCGCTCGCGTATACGTTAACCGAAAAAGAGAAAAATAAAACGCATGCAATTGCGAATAAAAAAAATGTGTGCGTCAAAGAATTGCACGTGCGCGCATACGAAGTGGTCCTTTTGTTTTTCTATTGTTGGCGGTTTACCGTTTAAAGAATAGACTACGATGTAATAGCACTAAAATACAACACGGTTACCAACGACAAGCAAACTTGAAGCAAACAGTGAATTTTATGGGAAATATTAAAGGAAAAATAATTGTAGGAAAAAGAACTGTAGGGCTGATTTAGACAACCAAAAAAAAGTATTTTAAGCTTTTTAAATGACTAATAAAAAAGATATATTTAATATAATTAATACATTAATATAATAAATAGATCCTTAAAACATTGTCAAAAGTTACATATTTCGGCAAAACGATACAGTTGCTTTACTTCAGTCGACGGCCCAAAGGTCTAACTATGAATGAAGCGCTGACAACTAGACTTTACTTATTACAGAATAAAAGGAAATTTAGATCTTGTCATGAGCTGTCATAAAAACTTACAATAAAATTACGTGTCATGCACCGTCAATAAATGATTCGAAAAACGGGAACATCGGAGTATATTTCTTTTTTCCTTTTATTCGGGGTTTTTTATTGAATGAGGGCGACAGTTCTTTCTTCTTGACTGCAATATTTTTCTTATCATTGTTTTTTTGGCTAATGATTAACTTTTTCCCACTTTTTCACTCGTGGTCACTCGTGCGTACTTTTAGACATGATCGTCAAAGTTGCAATTGCTTATTGTATAGTAAATGGTTTGAACCCGGGGGTAACATGCAATAGTGTAGTTTGATCGACCGGGTGAGTGTAGTCCTGATAAGGACTGTTGTCGGTAGTGGTGACTGACGTTTCGACAATCTGAGCGGTAGTCATCATCAGAATCAAGTGAAAGGTTGTTGTCAGTCGAATGTACTTACTCCGGTTTGTGTACACTGATTGGTCAGTTTTGCCATGATGTTATTGGCTGTAAGACTCAAGTGGCGTAGGTCAGTCGTGATTGGTCGGTTTGGAACCATTAGTGAAGTTAGGTCGTTCTGTGGTGGAATGCGTCGATTTCGTCGTGTCGTACGGCCGTGAAAGTATCGTCAACGTAGCGTAACCAAAGTAATATCGTCTGTCGGCAAGTCGAAAGGGCGCTTTCCTCGATGTTCTGCATCACAATTTCTGCTACAACAACAGAAACTGGAGACCGCATAGCTGTACCGTGTAACTGTTTGTAGTATTTGCCGTTGTACTGAAAGTAAGTTGATGTCAGGCAAAGGTTTAGTAAGTCCATAATGTCCTCTGTCGGTAACGGTGGAGGGTCGGTAGATTGTAGGATAGCAGTCTCAGTATATTGTAGTGCCAGTTGAAGTGGAATACTTGTAAAAAGCGATTTCACATCAAATGACACTAGTTTGAAGTCGTCAAGTATCTGTACAGTCTTAGTGGCGTTAATGAAGTCCTCGGTGGATTGTAGTTTTCGTCTGGATTTGTCGGTGAGCGGTTGTAGTATTGTCGTTAGGTACTTGGACAGTTGGTATATCGGAGAACCACAGAAGGAAACAATAGGTTGCGTTGGGAAACCAGGTTTGTGTAGTTTCGGCTGGCTGTGGTACTGAGCACCTTAGTCGGTAGTAGCGCCATTCCGCCGTTCGGCCGTTCCGGCTTTTAGGGTTGCCCGAAATTGGGAAGCAATATTATTGAGTATTCGCTTCGTTACTCGCTTAATTATACCCGTGTTTCGATGCCTTTTGTAAGTGACATTTTCCTTCTCAGCTAATTCATTAACAACTCAAATAAAGCAAATATTCTGCTACTACTCGTTATTCCATAAATTCGCGAAGCGATGCGACATGCGTAGCAGTCGATGCGACAGTGTAGCATTATAGCTTTTTTCATTATGTAAATTTTCCGTTGTCGACTTGTCTCATTTTCAAACCTAAAAGTTCTTTGTTTTACACACCAATGTAATGCAAAGGATACTTATAGTACTGAATAACAAAGGCACATAGTTGCACATTTTTTTCCACCGTGCGCGCAAAACAGTCGTATATGTGCGCCTGACTACCGTGCGTCTGAGCGTATGTAATTCGTCTTCGCAGTTAACACATACGCGAGGGGTACTGTATCATTCATAACTCTGAGAGACTACAAACCGAACTTCGTTAACAAACCGACCTGCCGACTAATCAGCCCCACCAAATCCGAGATTGGCAGAATTAGCAAAGTAATCCTCGACAGAATCATCAACAAAATCACGAGAGCAACACGGCATCTGTGATCGAGTGGTTTAAAGCCATTAAAAACAAAAAAGCACCACAGTTTTATTTGTTTTGACATCGAAGAATTCTATCCCTCCATTAGCCAAGACCTCCTGAACAGAGTACTCGACTTTGCTTCAACCTACGACGTCACCAACGACGAAGAAACATCATGTAACACATGCAAAACATTCGATCCTTATGCACAAACAGCAACCTTGGTAAAAGAAGGTCGATACAGCATTTGACGTCCCAATGGGCAGCTACGACGGTGCTGAAACATGCGAGCTAGTAGGAAGCCTTCCTCCTTTCCCAACTTCGAAACATCAACATCAGACTTTTCATTTCAAACGCCACACCGAGAGAAACAGATAACAGAAAATTTGCCGAGGTTTTTTCGACGAGGCGTCGTAAGAAGTTGTTTCGTGATGATACGACCACATGCTCTTAAGACACATACGACTTCAAGTCTACCAAGAACCCCTCTCGGATCGACTAGTTAAAGGAATTTGAAGATGACATGCTAAAGATGATATTTACAAAACATTTTAAACATGTAGACTGAACAGTTTTTCAGTTATTCTCAATAGATTTTTTTCGGTTTTAGATCATTTTCGTTCAAATAAAGGTAATCTACTTTTACTTTTGAAAAAGTAAAAAATCAAACATTATCAACACTAGGTAAACATCACTAGGAAGATTAAATATTCTAGCCATGTAAATAGCCCAATGGCTTTAAATGTTTTGATATTTTTTCCAGTAAATACTTTTAAAAGAAATTATTCCCTACCTGAGATATTAACCTTTTTCTGTCTTTACTTTCATCCATAAATACTGTTAAATGTTCTCAGCTGTTATTCAGCAACTAAGAATTGGTTAGGAACATATTTTCAATTCAGGTTTGCCTCTAAATCCATAATTTCAGTCAAAGGTAGTATTGAATTAACCGTGGCATGCGATAATGAAGAAATACTTAAAGATAGCTTATTTCGTTGTTCTCTCCCTTGACCTATACAGATGTTATTATGCTTTAAATTTTTATATCAGGTGAGGCACTAAGTGCTAAATATATTTCTGTGTACCTTTGCTCTCAGGAAGTTTTCCTGTCCTTAAATTTTCGACATGTTATCTTGAGGAATTACTAGCTGAACTAAGCGATCAGCTTCGGAGGTTCAGAATGGAAGGTGAATATAAAATGTTTATTGATTCATTATCAGAGAGAAATAAATACAAGCTTGCTTTTAAAGGCTTTCACCCCTGTATCAAAATATCATTTTTCAAGGGAAATTATTCCTTATTTAAAAGAACCTGTTGTTTGATTTTATTTCTATTGATGAATACTTCCACTCGTTATTCAATTCATTTATTTTCAAGGGAAACTATTCCCAAGTAAAGATGATCCCTCTTCCTTTATACTTTTGGCTATTATGTAAAGTGTTAGCTTTTATATGAAATTTTTCTTAATTTAGTTTTTGCTAATTCTGTGCTGTGGTGAAAGGGAGTATTAAGTTGGCTGTGGCTTATTATGATGAGACAATTTTTCTAAATGGTTGATTTCAACAATGACCATAGGAGATTAATCAGAAAACTGACACTATAACTGTGCTATCACATGACCCCAACACAATGTACAGTGCTAGTTAAATGCCTGTTTTTAATCATTTATGTGAAGTAAGGCACTGAATGCTAAATACAGTGTATCCTTCTGTTTACCTTTCCTTTCAGGTACTTTTCTCTCCCCTGCACTCTTAACTGCTGATCTTGAAGAAAAACTAAAAAAACTACTCACAGAACTTGAGCGACAAAGAGATAAAGGTGAGTAAAACATGTGTATTAGCTCCGTTGAACAGGGCAAAAGAAATATGGAAAGTGATGCAAGGAAATGGTTGCACTAGTATTTTAGGCTTGTTTTTCTAAGTAACAAGCTGAAAGGTTTTAGTTTGCCATAAAGGACTCCTAATTATATTATCTTCCCTCAAATATCTAAGTCCTGCATGCAACTTGCAAAACATCTCCACCACTCATTACATGTTAAAACATCGAATGATATGTATTTACTCCATATTTAAGATAACCCCTCCTCTTATATAATGCTATCAACCAAGAATGCTGTTAAATGCTTTAAACCATTTTGCTACCTTCTCTCAGGTAGTTTACCCCCCACTATTTCCACCATTGAAGTAGAAGTAGACGAACTACTCAAGAAATTTCAGAAATGGCGGATCGAAGGTGAATAAATAATGCACATTTAGAGAGAAAATAATTGTAGTAGAATGCTATTAAAATATTTCCAGTTCCTTGTAGAATTACATTACCGCTCGTATATACATTAACCAAAAAACGCGAATAAAACGCGCCAAAAATCGCATGCAAATGCGAATTTAAAAAAATGTGCGCGTCAAAAAATTGCACACGCGCGCATAAGCTTGATACGTCTGCCTTGTTAGTATATATGAGGTAATCCTTTTGTTTTTCTATTGTTGGCGGTTTACCGTTTTAAAGAATAGGCTAAATAGAAAAACGAATAGAAAAAATAGAAAATAGAAATAATAGAATAGAAAAACAAAAGGATTACCTCATATATTCTAAAGAGGCAGACGTATCAAGCTTATGCGCGCACGTGCGATTTTTTGACATGCACATTTTTTTAAATTCGCAATTGCATGCTTTTTTTGGCTACAATGTAACAAGACTAAAATACTACACTGCTACCAACGACAAGAAAACTTGTTCGTTTCAATCACCGTTCTAACCGACCTTCCCGATATGCTGTTACAAACTGCTGCGACTTCGTAATCTGAATATATGAATGATTTATCATTTTCCAACGGAATTCTTTAATCAAAATTTGTCACTTCGTATAAAAAAAACATCCGTTACAACGGCCTTGAGAATTCGTTCTCGGTGTATTGTAATTCGGTAGAATCAGCTAAAGCGTCCTTTTGTAACCAGTTGTCGCATTCTTAATGCAAACTCACGCGTGAACGTTTAGTTCATAGCTTTATCATCGGTGACCATGCTATTCTCGAAATCTGGTTTATTCATCGCGCCTTTTATACAAAAACTTATAAGTTCTACTAGCTTATTTTAATGGTGTTGTGTTACAGTATGGTTACCTGTCACGACTACGCCTTGTTCTTACCCATATGCATATTTTTATCGGAAACCGGATTTGCTTCTCGTTTTAAAATTTGTAAAATCATCGAGCGATGTTCACCAAATTGCTCATAAAAGGGAAGGGAAAAATTAAAGGCAGGATACATTTAGTTCAAGTTTGTATAAGACTCGCATACGAGTGCAATTGGACAAAACATCAATACGGCGATACTTATGTCAGTCAACACGGTAATCCAGGACTTTTGGAAAATTGGTGGCTCCTAAAGGAGCCGTTTTTTCATTAAAGGAAGCTGTTACTAGGCTCTTCCTTCGCGTTGGACTTCAGTAGAAATAACTTTTCGGAGGTGGCTAATGTATTTACGGCACTCAGGAGCAGCCCCAGAGTCCCTGAACCGATAGATGCCCGCGACAAGTTTGTCCTTGTTAGTTGGCTTGACAACGCGACGCAAGCGAATGTTTTCAGTTCGTGTCAGGGGAGCTTTAAAGGATTCATGTCCGGGCTTTCAGCAGGAGTAGGCCAGTATTGTATGTTATTATCTTCGAATCTTCGTCTTTGACATTGCGACTTACTATAACTTGACCTTTCATTGTAGTTATATACTGCGCTCCGCAACCAAACAAATCATCACGTGCGATGCAAAATGAAACTGTTTACATTTCTGTGCGAAAAGAAAACAACATAGCAAATCACTGACTTGTTGTTTTGATGCATTGGCATTGAAGAAGTGGAAGAATTCATCCGTTTGTAAATTGGCCTAAAAAGCTGTTAGGAGTGAAGCTATGAAACTTCAGGGAAAAAAATGAGATATGAAAAAAGAACGTGAATGTGGTTTTAGTCATCTTTTAAAACAGAAATTAATGTTATTAATAGGCAAGAATGCTTCTGTCAGCAATTATGAAAAATGATACTTGTCAATGCAAATTATTTGAAATGTGTTTTTGTCTCATTCTCTTCTCTAGTTAAAGGTAGTGCTCAGTTTCCATGCAATAAATTAGGGAAACGTTACATACATGTAGAGTGATTACTTTTTAAGTTGTTCTCAATGTTTTTTTTTTTGGTTTTAAAGCTTCTGTTTTTAAATGAAGGTAATCAACAGTGTACATGTACCTGCTAGTATCTTTAAATGCAAGTTAGTATGCCTTTTCCCAACTATTAATTAGTAGAAATGGTAATATCTCTCTGCATACCTTTGTTTATAGGCATGTTGCCTCTTCCTGGATCTTCCACCTTTGATCTTGAAGAAGAACTAGAAGAGCTACATAAGAAACTTGAAATAATAATAATGGAAGGTGAATAAAAATGTGCTGTTAAATTAAATTTTGTGGTAAAACTAAACCAAGAATGCTTTTAAATACATTAAGTTCTCATTCAAAATATTTTTTTTGAAAGGAAATTTCACCCGATTTAGTTTTCCTTCACTCTGTATTTTGCTATAAGGGAATATTAAGATGGTAGAGGCTGAGGATGGTGAAATAGTGTATAATGTTAAACTAAGTTTTATCGGTGTTGATCTTAAATTATGCCTATACGATGTAGTTTAGATAGATTTTGTACATCGTATACAATCAGTTAATCACATGTTGGTTTGACCCGTTATCGTGTCGCTATTAAAAGTAACACCATGAATTTCACTTTGTACCCTACCCCTGAGGGTTGACTCCCATTACTATGGACACCCCTCGCAGGGAGATTAAATGTCTGAAATAGCGAAAAGTCTGTAATAACGGGGTGTGAGAGATAGGAAATTGTTTTGTTTCTTAGCATATGAAATGAAGTTTCCAACGTGGCCTCACAAACGGGAAAGAGATCTGGCCGCAAGCAGGAAATTCTCATGTTCACATCCTGTTGAAGAATTTTTTTTTCTTTTTTCATAATGTCGCTTTATAGTATGTTAGTTAGGATTTTGGATGAAGCACTAAGTGTCTGTTATAGTAAGAGAAAAAAAACAAGTGAAACTTCGCGCTGGGGGGTTTGAAAGTGTCTACATTTCGGTAAAAGGAAGAGTCCGTTTTAAAGGGAGTTTATTTCAGTCATTTCTTCATGCTTTCCCCCAGGGGCTGGCTCTTGTTTGCAGTGGCGAGGTGTCTGTAATAGTGAGGGGTACGCAAGGCGAGAGTAAACTGTAGACTAATCCAAATTTGACATTGTTTCATTCTATACTTTAGCTAAGGATGGTATAGAGTCGGCATGTGGTAAAAATACACAATAGTTGTTTTCAACGATGATCGTGGAGTTATAATGAAGAACTTACACTGTTTTACTTTAATATGACAATAATTTGCTGTTTGCACAAGTATATCTGTTGTTATCTTTTATGTTTAAAGTCAGACACTGAATTTTGAAAAGCTCTGTATACCTTTACCCCCAGGTTCTCTCCATTCTCTCCCCACCACTGATCTTAAGGAAAAGCTAGAGCAAGTATTTGAGGAAATTAGGATGCTGAGAACGAAAGGTGAATAGAAAAATTCATATCTTGTCATTTTTAGAGAGAAACTGGTACAAGAATGCTAACAACTGTCCATAAAGTTTGCTTAGGTTTAAAAAATAAGCTAAGATATTTAATAGGTAAAAACCAAACATTTTCGAAACCAGGTCATCATCAGGGTGATATTTTAGTCATGTAAATAGCTCAATGCCATGAAATGAATTCATATTTTTTCCAGTTAACACTTTAAGAGAAATTATTCCCTACCTGAGATATTAACCATTTTTAACTCGTGAATTGCGCGTATGCGCAAGAGCGAGTTATAGATACGATGTGGGGAATGGCATTCGCTCGCTCGCTCGCTCGCTCGCTCGCTCGATTGGTCGATTCCTGTAAACTTTTTTTAGATTTTAGGCTTTTGAGTGCATTTGATAGTTTTTGGCGAGCAATAAACAGACGAAGTGGCGACCTTTGTTGCTAAGAATAGTGGTGGGGTGAAAAAGAAGCCAATGATAATCTTAAAAGAGTTTTTTTTTTCGTTTTAGTTTCAACAAGCGGCGCCAGCGACTGGCAGGCATGCAAGGATTCACACTGAAATAACAGAACAACCTTCGTTTTTCATAATTTAATTTACAGTCCTTGAACTTGAAAACAATCCGAAGATTCATTGAAAATATCACTTACTGCGAAGCGCTCGGAGTTTACAGATGTTCAAAAGCTTTTTCTGTGAGATTGAGGACAAAATTGATCATTACGTTTCGTCGCGTGTATTTTTCCTGTGTGAAGCAACAGAAGATGCCGACGACTGACGAAATTACAAGTTAACACGAAAATCAAATAACACCTAAACACACAATTTTTTAGCTACCGATTTTCAGTGAATTTTTAAAGAACAATTTTCTTTTAAGTTTCAAGACAATTTGAAGATTCAACATACATACAACGTACTAAAATGCGAAAGTTACACACCACAAAATTGATAAATAGGCCTGAAATGAAATTCTATCTTGTTATTGATGATACGTTGCCTAGCACGTGACTTAAATCTACCCAGGCGGAGATCCAAGATGACGGTGGCAGGCTTGGCTTAGTTATATCACTCAAAACTCGTCCCCTTTTTTCTCATTTGATAAAGATGGAATCGTTAATGTTTTCATTAGACAATATTGCCTTTATTTTCTAATATTTACAAAGAAAGACAGTAAATTTCACTTTTCACCCACATTTACTTCCAACCTTTTCTTTTGAACCAGAAACAAAAATGATAGACGTTTAAAACACATGACATCATCCACCCTTGTCAAATGTAATAGCATGATCATTTCAATTGTAATGCCTTCTTATCCCAACGTTACTTTGTTTCTATGCTACATTAGCGAACACTGAAGTACTGCTCGTACTCTAGATATGACAATCAACCACAAAATTCCCTAAACCAGATAACATTAAACATAATCTAAAAAATCATATGTCAATTCACGAGTTTGCTCACAGAGCACTTTGATTTGTCTTTACTTTCATCCAAGAATGCTGTGAAATGTTCTCAGCTGTTATTCAGTAACTTTGTTTTGTTGAGGAAAATGTTTTCAATTCAGTTTTGTCTCTTAATCCACAACTTCAGTTTAAGGTAGT